ATAGTACAACACGGGTACTTAATGATAATTTTACTTTTTCACTTAAAAATTTCGAACCGAACTCAAGCCGAGCTCGAGCATTTTGATTTCGAGTTGAGCTCAAGCCGAGCTCGAGCCATTGTATTTTCTTATCGAGTCGAGCTCGAACAGCTAAAAAAATTCAATACTACTAGATAAAGTCAATGTTCCACTCGGCTCGGCTCGGCTTGTTTGTAGCCATACTCGTGACGTGGCAATCCACTAGACTACAAATTATTATATGTTCATATCTAAAATACGTAAATTTATTTAATTTTATATATGCAAAAGGTTGTTGTTTTGAGTTTTCTTGCTAAATTAGCGATGCGCACATTACATATCTCTATTCACTTTACTTAATAATTAGTTATTGTTATACTTATTTTTATTAAAAAGAATCACATTTATTTGAAATTTAATTTTGGACAGATTTGATAGAGACTTGAGATGGAGGACTGGTGTTCAATTACTACCTGTGATGTGCCAAAGCTCCAACAATTTCAAAATTACCAAAGAGGCCCTTGAAGAAGCATTTGACCAAGCCCAAAAGGCCAACATCAAAGTCAAAGGCCTCATGATAGCAAACCCTTCGAACCCATTGGGCACCACATTGGATAGGCCCACCTTGAAAAGCCTAGTCACATTCATCAATGAGAGGCAAATTCACCTCGTTTGTGATGAAATTTATGCGGCCACCGCTTTTCGTGCGCCGGAGTTCATTAGCGTCTCTGAAATTATCGAGGAGGTTGAGTGCAATCGAGACCTAATACACATTGTCTATAGTTTGTCGAAAGATATGGGCCTCCCGGGATTTAGGGTCGGCATAATGTACTCATACAACGATGTTGTTGTGGACCGTGGCCGAAAAATGTCGAGCTTCGGTCTCGTCTCATCGCAAACACAACACCTTTTGGCAACAATGTTGTCCGATGAGGAGTTCACGAATAAGTTCATGTTGGAGAACACGAGAAGGCTTGCAAACAGGCACGAGATGTTTACCAAAGGGCTAGAAGAGGTCGGCATAACGTGCTTGGAAAGCAACGCAGGCCTATTTTGTTGGATGGACTTAAGGCATTTATTGAAGGAGCCCACATTCGAAGGTGAAATGGGCTTGTGGAGGGTCATAATAACTGAGGTGAAGCTTAACGTGTCTCCCGGCATGTCTTTTCACTGCCACGAGCCGGGCTGGTTCAGGGTTTGCTTCGCCAACATGGATGACGAGACTTTGAAAGTCGCCCTCACTAGAATTCGGGTGTTTGTGGCCAAAGGGAGTGAAGTCGATGCGAAAGTGAAGAAGCCGTGGCAGATGAACTTAAGACTCAGCTTCTCGTCGAGAATATATGATGAAACTATGGCTTCGTCTCCCCGTGTAATGTCCCCTCACTCACCGCTTGTTCGCGCTTGGACATGATGAGTTCCTTATTGAAGACTTGGAGAATGTGATGGTGTGGATGCATAGAAGAGTTTTCATGTTCCACGTTTTCAACTACTTTGTGTATTGATGGATTTAAGAGTAAGTTTTGTTGTGCTCTTTTAGGGTGCAATTGTGGAGATTGACCCCAAATGATAACATAGAAGAAACACCGCATAATAAGTCCTACCTCATGTTATTTGTAGTATATGGACCTTAGTTAAGGTTAGTTTTCGGGCCCCAAAGATTTATATTATATTGGGCTTTGTTATATCAACTTTTACTTTGATCAGCCAAAAAACCAATATATTATAAATTAGTCCTAGTATTCTCTCGAGTCTCATTAAATAATATTATATTGGGAAATTCCTCTTTTATTTATTTAAAACTAGTACGTACACCGTGCAATGCACGAGACATAGATATTAAATGAATAATTTTCAAATGACTTTGTTCGTTTAAGTCTAAAAATCAATAGAGTTATCATATATTTTTCACTTGTATATTAGGGTTAGCTTGTAAAATAATTAATATATTATCTATACATATTTAATTCTTTTTTTATCGATTATACATATTTATTTCTTAATTTGAAATAAAAAAAATGTTTGATCCCTTGAGTATTAAATCAACACTAATTAATTTATTAAGCAAGTGAAGACGCAAAGCAAGACAATTTAATTATCCAGCAATTTAGGGTAATATATAGTTATTTCTTTTTATTAAACATGATTTTTAAAAATAAAACAACATCAGCCCCAAATAATAGACAACATTCATGGTTTTGGTTGAAAACCAAAATAACAAAATTCTTAATTAATGGGTAGCATTTAATGCTACCTTTTTAAAAAAAATAAAAAAAAAGAAAAAAGGAAAGTTACTAAGAATGAAATGTAATTAATGCAAAATGATTTTGACCAAAATTTGACCTTCTATTTTTAAAAAATAGTAAATCTTTTTATATATACTAGTACAGTCCCCGTGCGATGCACGGGCTTTATTATTTCTGTCTTTTTAAAAGGCAATTTTGTTTCTAAATTAAAATTATATAATAAATGAACGATCATGACATCAGTTAATTGCATGCTTAAATTAATTATTTTTTATATATCTAGTAATTTTGCAATTAATGTTATACATGTGGTAATTTTGCAATAAAAAATGATATATATTGTACATGGTGTAATTTTATTTTATTATTGCAAACGGCTCACAAACAGAGAGACCAAATACAATTCAGTTAAAAAAAGAGGATCGAACGGTTGACAATAATCAACCAAAATGTACGTGTGAGATCGACCCTATAATAGCATTTGGCCGGCATTAGGTTTAGGCTTGCCATTTGCGCCGCTTCACTCTTTCCTCTCCTCACGTTTCATCTTCGAAATTTTCGATTCTTGTTGAATTTAAGACATGAAATTCGATTTTTTTACTTAGTTATGCTTTCTAGCTTAAGTATCATTTCCGATTTTGAATTAGCACACTGAAATTCTATGATTAGTTAATATATTTATAATTTTTATTTAGTATTATGTATTCCTACTTTTTTACGAATTATAATTATTTTGATTTCATATGTTTGTACGATTTTGTTTAGATCGTTTTCAGTTTTTAACAAAATGCAAAGTTTTGTTTGCGGTCTTCAACTTTCAG